TATTGATTTCGGCTCAGGTCAAGATCTCGTGGTCCGTGAGTTCAAGCTCCATAATGAGGCTCCTCGATGACAGGGCAGAGCTTGCTTGGGATCCTCTGTCTCCCACTCTCTCTGCTCCTCCCATGTGCGCTCTCGCTCAAAATAAACAAACTTAAAAAAAAACCCACCCTATGAAAAGTGGGACCCCATTCAAAGCCTTGTGGTACAAAAGAATCACCTACCCAAGCCCTGCCCAAATTTCCAACCCCCAAACTTGTGACATGTAATAAAATCGTCATTATTTTGAGTCATTACGTTTTGGACTATTTGTTACCCTTGTAGGGTAAGTCTGGAGAGAGGCTCAGACACGAAAACATTTAATAAGCATTTAAGGTGGTTCTGATGCAGAGGGTTGAGGGGACACTTGAAGAAGCACCAGAAGAGGGGAGCCTGGGTAGCTCAGTCGGTGTCCGACTCTTGATTTTGGCTCAGGTCATGGTCTCAAGGTTCATGGGTTTGAGGCCTCTGTGCTGACAGTGTGGAACCTACTTGGGATTCTACCCCTCCCTCCCTCCCTTGCACACGCACTCTCTCTTAAAAAATAAGTAAATAAATAAACAAACAAATAAATAAACTTTAAAAATTAAAAAAAAAAGGAAGAGGCACCAGAAGAGAGGGACTAACTCTAAGGTCAAGTGCCCCAAGGTACAAGTCTACATCATATCATACAGAAAGATAAATGGACAAGGCAGAGCCAGAGAAAAGAGGAGCAGAGTAGACTGAGGGGCAGAGAGGCAAAAAATTAAAATTAAAATTAAAATTAAAAAAAGGGGGTGGGGGAGACAGAGAGCAGCTTGAAGGCAGACAGAAAACTAAACAACTCGATTCAACAAGCAATGACTCTTGCCTTCCGTGGCTGGTGTGGGAGATGCAGAGACAGGCATGACCGAGTCCTGCCTTCATGGAGTTCGTGCTCTAGACACAAGATGGCACAGAAAGAGGGTGGCAGAGGCACAGCAGAGTAAGAGAGAAAGGGCAGCTGTACTGACAGCTCAGAGCCCAGAGCCTGCTTTAGATTCTGGTTCTCCCTCCCTCTCTGCCCTTCCCCTGCTCACTCGCTCTCGCTCTCTCTCTCAAAAATGAACAGTAAAAAAAAATCAAACGTGGAATTACCATGTAATCCAGTCATTCCACTTCTGGCGATGTGCCCAAAAGAACTGAAAGCAGGGACTCAACCAGATATTTATACACTGATGTTCACAGCAGCATCACTCACAATAGCCAAAAAGTGGAAACAACCCAAATGTCCATTGATGGATGGATGGAGAAACAAAATACACTATTTTATCTACCATAAAATAGTATTCAGCCTTAAAAAGGAAGGACATCCTGGCGCGCCTGGGTGGCTCAGTTGATTAAGCGTCCAATTTCAGCTCAGGTCATGATCTCACGGTTCGTGAGTTTGAGCCCCACATTGGGCTCTCTGCTCTCAGCACAGATCTGTTTCGGATCCTCTGCCTGCCTCTCTCTCTGCCCCTCCCCTCCTCTCTCTGAAAAATAAATGAGCATTTTAAAAAGTGTTAAAAAAAAAAAAATAAAAGGAAAGGGCGCCTGGGTGGCTCAGTCGGTTAAGCGGCCGACACCAGCTCAGGTCATGATCTCGCGGTCCGTGAGTTCGAGCCCCGCGTCGGGCTCTGTGCTGACAGCTCAGAGCCTGGAGCCTGTTTCAGATTCTGTGTCTCCCTCTCTCTGACCCTCCCCTGTTCATGCTCTGTCTCTCCCTGTCTCAAAAATAAATAAAAACTTTTAAAATTTTTTAAAAAAAATAAAAGGAAGGACATTCCTACACCTGCTACAACATGGATGAAACTTGATGACATGATGTTAAGTGAAATAAGCCAGACACAAAAGGGCACACGCTATATGATTCCTCTTATATGAGGTTCCCAAAGGAGACACATTCACAGAGAACAACAGTAGAGTGGCAGGTGCCAGGGCACTGAGGGGAGAGGAGACGGGGAGTTAATGTTTCTTGTGTACAGGGTCCCAGTTTGGATTTGGGTGATGCCTGTACAGCATGTGGACGTACCTGATGCCACTGAACCGTGCACCTGAAATGGTTAAATGGTAAATTTTATGTCATATATTTTACCACAACATTTTTTTTTAAGTTTCTTTATTTTGAGAGAGAGAGGGAGCATGCAGGCTAGCAGGAGAGGGGCAGAGAAAGAGGGAGACAGAGAATCGCAGGCAGGCTCCACGCTGTCAGCGCGGAGCTCAATGTAGGGCTCGATCCCACGAACCGGAGGTCATGACCTGAGCCAAAATCAAGAGTCAGACACAACCGACTGAGCCGCCCAGGCGCCCAATAATTTTTTTTTTAAAGGAGGGTCAGAGGGGAAAAGATTGCTGGGCAGGGAGATGCTATTCTATACGGGGAGGTCTTTGAAGGGTTCATTGGTCAAGTGCGATTCAAGTAGAGATGTATGTTCCAGGGGAGAGAGAATGGGGAAGGGTGGGCACGAGACGGGGGTCCGGGACCTGGGCCAGGCAGACACCACGGAGGTGAAGAAGGCAGTTCCAGGAGGTGGAAGGTCTGCAGGGAGAAGGGGAAGCAGAGGGAGGGCTGGAGGCCTCACAGGGCTCTGACTCGGATGCTGGGCTTGGGGGTGGGGGTGTAGAAGTGAGTGGAGCAGGGACCCAGAATGGAGTAGGCAGCACCTCCAAAGTCTTAACTGAAGAGAGTGTAATAAAGGGACAGTGCACAGAGCTGCAGGTGGGGATATCAGAACAAGCCAACAAGGACAGAAGAGCACCCAGATTCACAGCAGTAGGAGCCACCCCCAATAGGCCTGATGTGCCACAGGGAGGTAACAATGCCAGAGCCTGGCCAGGAGCCCTGGAGCTGTGGACAAAGAGCCACTGGACCAGAGCTAGAGAAGAACTCAGTAGGGGAATAAATACCTAGCTTCTCCCTCCTCCTGTTCTTCATTCCCCTGGTGACACTTCCCCTCGAATGAACCCAATCAGTAGTCAAGGGCAAGGGAACCTGGGTAATCAGTCTGCAGAGGTCAACCTCCCAAGGCCTCGAGGAGGGCAGAGAAGGGAGCAAAATGGACCCAGAGGGGCAAATGGAGAAAAACCAGCACAGACGGTGATGCCGTTTGTTGAAATGAATACAAGGGAAGGAGCCCTTTTTGGAAAATTAGCTGGCTGGTAGAGAGCCCAAGGTAAAGGCTTAGTCCTCGGAGGCAGGGCAAAGGAGTACAAGGCATGAGGGGGCTCCTGGGGCTGAGGGGCTACCCAGGTGTCCAGGGTTTGCGAATCCCAGGTCTGGTAGAATAGAGGGCCTAAGCGAGCTGGGGAGGCTAGCTTGAGCCAGCTGCAGGCCCCCCTCCCCTTTTGTCCTGAAGTACCTCCCACTGTGAAGCCAGGGGGCAGCGTCTGCAGAGGCAGCTGAGGGGAGGGCAGGAGGAAGGGTGCCCAGCTAGGGCAAGGTGTTCCCAGACACTAGTCCCAAACAGTTGAGGTTTAGGCCAGGGCTGGTCAGGAACCAAATCAGTGTGGTGAGGTTTCATAAAGCCAACTTGATTTCATCAAAGGAACAAGCTTCCCTCTGAGGATGCCCCAGCCCTGCACCGCCTCTGGCCTCGCCTACTCCCCCTCTGTACACTCAGCCATGGCTCCCCAGGCGAGGCCAGGCCTGTGGGCCCTTCAGGGGCCCTCTCCGAGCCCTTGATCTGTCTACTGCCTACTCTGCTTTGGGAGGCCCAGCCAGGCAAAGGGGGCAGGAAGAGGGAGCACACTGGTGCTAGGCCAGCCCAAGGCCCCAGCAGATGAAATATTCATGCAGCCAGAAGGCAGGAGACCAGCAGAGGACTTGCCCCTGGGGCCATGGGTCTGTGGTAATGACAAAAGCAGCTGTAGCTCCTCTCCCCGACCCCAAGCTTTGTTCTGCAGACTGGAATGGGCCTGCAGTGCCAGGATGCCAATCATTCAAACACACTCCAAAGACGCATGTGGATGAAGAAACTTGGGAGAGTGGGGAAGGGAGGAGGGCACACACAGACACACACATAGACAGACTGGGCACACATGCACATAGACCTGCACAGACTTACAACAAACATACACTCCATCCAGGGATGATTCTCAGGGTCGTATACATGCCTTCTTAAAACCTACGCCCCAAGAGCCTCACCTGCCTCACCCTAGTCTGGGTGCCGCTCAAGTCTGCTCTGGCACTTCCAGCCCTGTTGCCTGGGACAGGAAGCTTCCACCAGGACACCACTAGTAGGGCCTCCTCCACGTCCCTGGCTTCCATTAAAGAAAGGTCTCCAGGATTCCAAATCCTCTTCAGGAGCCTGCCCTACCCCTGAATTTCCTGCACTCAGCTGGCTCACTGTTCAGTCAAAGAAAGAAAGGTGGAAGCTGCAGGGCGGACAAACCACCCCAAGGTCTTGAAGAGAGTAACCAAAGGGTGACTTCGACTCACAACTCCAGACGCCCAACCAAGCACCACCAAAGGTCCAGCGATTCCATTCCCAAATTCCTCTACCAGTTACGATGGCCCTCCCCCTCCACCCTTCCCAGCCTCTGTCCAGCTACCAGGATGCGCGATAAAAGGGGCCTCCTGGGACATCTCCCAGCCGGATCCCAGGGCCCTCTTAGACACCAGCTGCTCAGTCAGTGTCCTGGCGAGAATTCAGGATGCCGAGTTCTTTTTCCAGTTCCAAATTAATAACCTCCCTGGCCCCGGGCGACTCTGGGGACTGGAGTGCTCCCACCCGCAAGGACTGGACCTGATGTAACTAAGGTGAAGGAGAGTCCAAGCCGGACGCCCGTCCCTGGCCTCCGCTGTGGGGGGCCCTCCGGGCCTGCGGAGGGCGCTGTGGAGGCCGGACCGCTCTGGCCGGCAGGCGGGCAGGGAGACCGCCTCCATGGTGGTGCGCTGTCCAGCATTTCAGCAATCGGCGGCGGCGGCGGCGGCGCCCGCGGGGAGACGGAGGGCGCGGGGCCGTGGGGGCCGCGGAGCTGCCCTGTCGAGTCGAGCGGAGGAGGAAGCTGGGACTAGCGGGGCCGGAGGGCCTGGCTTCAGCACCCGGCGGAGCGCGGCGGCCAGCGGGGAGGTGAGAGCCCCTAGTGGGGCGGGGGCATTTCTCATAGGGGCTGGGGCTGGGTTGAACCTCGGGCCTCCACAGTCGGACAGGGGCTCGAGGTCCGCAGGCCCGCGAGCAGATGGTAGATTGGGGGACTGCAAGAGTGTTTGATCGAGGGTGCCAGGCACCTGGGAAACAGAGATGAGGAACATTGTTCATTTCACTGAGAGGAACGGAGAAAGTGGGAACCCTGTGGGGTCATGGGCAGGACTCCCCTGGGCATAAATGGCCATGGCCTGGCCCATGAGGATGTTAGGGAGACGCTCAGCTGCAGCCCAGTTGCCCTCCCCCAGCTGAGGAGAAGGACCTGCTCCCTAGGGAAGGGAGAGATTAACGCAGGGACCCTGTGGAGAGGCTGGTCACTGGGAGGGGTGGAAGGCGCAAGCCCCCACCTGAATGCTGGGCTTCTGTCCAGAAGGGGGTGGCAGCATAGGGGACAGCCTGGCCCCTTTCCCAGCTGCCCAAATGCCCCTAGGGAGGCAGGATCTGGCAACGAGAACTGGGTCTCACACAGGATGGCATTTACTCTCACACTGGGAAGAGGATGGAGGGCACAGAAGAGAAAATAGCCACCAGGAGTTTAGGGGGGTTCTCTGTGGCCTCTCTGAATGCCCAGGGAGAGTTTCTGAAGCTCCGAGTGGGCCCAAGCTCAGAGCAGATTCCTGGTAAAAAGGAGAGATAAGAGAAGAGACGCAGCCTCTGCCTTGCATCCTCTCCCCCCCACCCCCCCTCCCAGGGCTCCTGCCTGGGCAGTGTTGAAGCTTCCTGCAGTTCCTGCTCCTGGCAGCAGGTCCATTGTGGGGATGGGTTTGGCGGGTAGAGAAAGAAGGGCACCCAGGTCTGGCCTGGTACTCCAATGCCTATGCTCTGTCCCAGCCATGACTTCTCACTCCCCTAAGACCACACTCACTTGCCCACTTCTGGCATCAGAGGGCCTGGGCTGGCCTTTTGTCCTGTGTCAAGGGAAAAGGCAGGAACTTAGGCGGAGAGCAGGGCAGGAGCTGGAGAGTTTCTCTGTGCATCTTAAGGTCATGGCCCCGGCATGTACCAAATTCTCCCCCAGCCAGAAATAGGACCAAGCTGGCTAGGAAATCGCTCCCACACATTACCAGCTTTTTGGTTCCTTAACTTTATGCCCCATCCCACTCTCCTGTGAGGGGTGGAGGAGGAATTCTTGAAGGGTGAATAAAGACTTGATTGGATTTTAAGAGGTGGGGGTAGGTGGGTAGGGTGTCATGGACTCTGAAGTCTGAGAGACATGGGTTCAAATCTAAGCTACATGACTTCAGGTAAGCCACTTAACCTTTCGGAGCCCGTTTCCTAATCTGTAAAACAGGTGTCATGTTAACAGTCTCTACTTGGCTATTCCAAGAAATAATCCAGATAAGGACTGAGAAACTACTTTGGGGCTGTAAAATTCTGGGGGAGTGTTTGTCAGTTGAATGCAAGTAAGAATTTCTTAAGGAGGAGCTGGATAAAGGTGGGAAAGTTCTTAGCATTGTTTGAAGCACATCTTTCTCTTCCCAGAGGAGGGGGACACTGGCTGAGGGCCTTGGAGCAGGCTCCACGCTTGGCACAGTGCTACTGTTGATTCAGTCAATCCTCACAAAAACTTCCCGGGAAGCCATCGCTGTCCCTATTTCACAGCTGAGAAATGAGACTCGAGTAGCTTTCCCAAGGTCACGAAGCACCCAAGCTGTCTTCCCTGGGTGCAGCTGATGACCTGTCCCAGCCCCTTGATATCCAGGCCCACTTAAATGCCAGTTTCTCGATTCATGATGCCCGCTTTCCAGGTGGGGAGCCTGAGGCATATGAGTGAGGGTGTGCAGTGCAGTGAGGAGCTGACTCCCCCAAGGTCACTGGGATATTTGGAGGTAGAATGTGCTTTGAACGGGCCAGCTGCGTGCCCCCACCGCAACCCACCCCTGCCACTGTCACGCCTGCCAGAGGGGGAGTCTGGGTCTGGCAGGCCCAACTGCTCACTGCCGTATCCACTTCTCACCTCCTCTGCCTGCCAGCCTCTTGCTGACCTCAGCAAGCCAGTGACTGCCTGTTCCTTTCTGAGCAGTTAGCGCCCCCCCCGCCCGCCCCCCCTCCCGAGATGGGGCCATGGTCACAAGCCACTGCTAGTACTGCTGGGGTCAGCCTCCCCTACTGACTTTTCTCTTCCTCCGCCCACTGCTTGCTGCCCCAGGGGCAGAATCAAGGCTCCTCCTGTCCCAGCAGCCATCAGGGGTTCTGCTAAAGAGATGAGGGGAACTCACCCTCTCCCTTGACTCCTTCCCATATTCTGAGCCCCTGCCATGGACCTATCACTTCATGTACGTTGCTTCACTTCATCCTCACGTAACCTGGTATCAAAGGTGGCCTCGATCCCTTTCACAGAGGAGCAAAACCGGGCCTGGAAGTGATGTGACTTTCCCAAGGTCACAGAGCAAGGTCTTGGTGCAGCCCACACCCACTGCCGCAGGGGCCCAGCGAGGCTTCCACAACATCACTCTGTCCTCAATTCCCCAGGCTCTCCTGAGTGAGGGTCAACCAGGGCACTGTGGGCCAGCGGGAGGTGGGAGGAGGTGTGTGGCACAGGCATCTGAAGGGCTCTGGGACAGGATCCCAAGGACCTTCCTTCTGGGCCCATCTCTGACCCTGGCTGCTTGTGTGACCTTGAGCAGGTCCCTTCCTGTCTCTGGGCCTTGGTGTCCTCAGCCATAAAATGATGGGGTTTGACCGAATGACCCCCCGAAAGCCCTGCCATCGTGACGATTTTAAGATCTCTCTGCCCTATAAATCTGTATATCGGGAAGCCCGTGGTTCTATTGGCAGAGATAGAAGTCACCGCCAAGTGTTTCAAGGTTTGAGTTATTAGTTGGAGCTGAGATTTAAAATTCACCTGTCCCTCCCAGCTATGAACTTGGGGTCTTAACTAAAGGGGGGGAACAAAGCTTGGAGAGGCCCAATGGCTTACCTGGAGACCCCAGATTCTTTGGCTGAGCCAGGATTTAGCTTTCCTGGCCCAGGACTTGAGGTGACCTGCAGGGACACTGAAGGTGCCCTCCACACGCCCCCCAGAGTTGTTCGCCAGACTCTAGGAGGCTCCCAGGACACACATACACAGGCCCCAAATCCACGGAAGCAGCAGGAGTGCAGTGGTTGAGGCTTATTCATGGTGTCGTGGGGAGAGGGAGGGATTTTGCAGCTGATGCTCTAAAGACAGGATGCAGGGCCCTGTAGAGGGAGTGAGTCTGCCTGGTGACTAGTCTAGTCCGAGTGGGGAGGGAAAGCCAGGCAAGAAAGGGAAAAGTTCCTTCTCAATTCTAACACCCACCTGGGCCCAGCAGAAAGGTCAGGGGCTCAGAGAGGTGGGAGGATCAAAGAGGGCACTCAGAGTGGGTACAGAGAGGAAGGGGGGTGGGCTGCTCTATGGTGGGGGTGGGGGGGAAGAGGTCAGTGAGAAGGTAGGAGGCCCAAAGGAGCTGAGGGGGCTTATGACAGGCTCATCACCAACAGTTATAGACCCCAGCCTGGCCCAGGCTAGGTTTTTCACTGTGGCTTTGGTGCCTGCTGACACCTCTGGGTTCTGCCCCTTCTCCTTCTTCTGGGTCATGAGCACAGGAGGGTGACAGCTCCACCCCTAGAGGCCAAGCCCTGTTGACTCCATGTCATCCAGAATGGGGGGCTCAGGGGGCCTGGGCAAGTGACCAGGTCCAGGCTACCCAAGCTGGCCCTTGGCCTGGGAGAAAGGCCACAGTGGCCATGTGTGCTTTGGCTCCAGAGCAGCCCCCGACCCCCAGGGACACCCCTGTCCCCAGCCAAAAGCCGCCAGCCCATCCACCTGCGGCACTGCTTCCTGGGCACTCAGCCTGGCCTCAGCCTCCTGCCGCCCCCAGCCTGGCCTCTTGCCCACCGCAGAGGCTTCTGTGCCAGCTGGAGCTGGCAGGCAGAGCACACTTCCCTTAGCATCTTGCCGGGGTCTTTGAGGCCTATGAGGCGGTCTGGGCCCAGTGAATCGAACCCCGGGGTGCAGGCAGCTCACTGAGCTGGGGAGCTCTTGGCCTATCTATTTTATTCCTAGCTTTGAGTATGGCCTGTGGCTCCGAGACCCCTCCCATACTGAGCTCCATCCCCACCACCATCCCCCCAAACTCCCCGGGATGGAGACAGGTAGGTAAAAGCAAGTTTCATTGGATTCTTGTGATTCTAAACATAGTACACCTTCCTTGTGCGAGACCTGAGAAGTAGAGAAGCCAAGGAGAAAATGGAAATCATCTGTAGTCCCACCACCCAGAGATAGCCACTGTGAACATCAGAAGGTGGGGGGCGGGGGGAGGGTATTTTTTCCAGGATTTTGTCCATGTGTTCATAGATACATAGAGCTTAAAAACCGGGAGCACACTGCTGAGGGAAGCCAGCATCCCATTTTTCACTCTATCATGAGAATTCTCTGATGTCTTTAAAGATTCTTTAAAAAGCTGGCTTTTAGTGGCCATTTGAAGGCTGGACATGGGAAGAGCCACTTCCCAAGGGAGCCCGGGAGACCTGTGGGGAGAACCTTCCACCACCCCCCCCCTTCCCTCTTAGGTGGAGCACACCTTTGGAGTCTGCTGGCTGTGGGTTTCCCTTGGTGAGGATGGCTTTGGGCCCTGTGACGCTCAGCCCGGGACCAAGGTGGGGAAGGCCAGAGCTGCTAAGGGGAAAAGAGGAGCATGTGAGGGTCATACATCCCCCAGGAAAGGTGAGAACCTGAATCCAACAAGACCTAAGAAGAAAGCTGAGGCGATTGCCAGTCTCCTGGACTCTGATCTCATTTGGGCCCCAACCTCCACGACCACATCTGTTTCCTCCCTTGTAAAATGGGCGTAATGCTACCTTCCCCCAAGTGTGCTATGAGAAGTGACTCAGGAAAGGATTAAACCCAGTGCGCTCAGTGGCCATCATCTGAGTGTGAGACCACACGGTCAAGATCTACTGAG